ACGGACCTTATCGAAGTCGATAAAGTCAACTACGAAGTGACTTGATATCTGCTTTAACGCTATGGAGTGCAGTGTTGCAGGCTGTTAGATGAAGCCACACGTCAAATAAAGATAGCTCACCAAGGCGCATGAGATGAAAGAGTAAGACAAGAAGGTTCACTGTTTCCTTTGATATTCCTGATTATGGCAGACTGGATCAGTGAGTGGTGAGTGCTAAGACGGGCATACGCTGAACTCACTAGAAGACCTGGATTTCTTTGATGATTTACGTCTCAAGTCGCACTAATTCGAAGATATGCAGGCGAAAATCAACAAGCTGGTGTGGAAGATGGAGAGAAGGCAGTGGAGATAAATTTGGGAATCATTCTTTTCACCTGGACAAGTAACATAGCTTCAACCGCAGGCGACACGAATGAGGATGCTAAGACCAGGAAGGATAGAGAAATCAGAGCAGCACTCAGTAAAATGAACAACATGCGAATTTTTAACACGAATATTAAGTCAATGCTTCTATATGGTTCAGCATGTGTCACCAGTAGCATTCTCAACAGGTTTCAGACTTTCAGCAACACCCACCTTCGCTAGGTACTGGTCGGAAGGGCGGTCAGAAAGGATAAACAACAAGGTCTGCTAACAAACCAAGGCACAAACTATTGGCCGACAAATATGCAGAAAGAAATGGAAGTGGATTAAACATACACGGCAGGCTTTCGAATGGAAAGCGATGGGTTTGGTGAGTCCGTGGGTGACATCAAGGGGACTATATGCAAAGGAAATGAAAGCTTGTAGGAAGTCATGGGGCTGGTAGAAATTGAAAGCAGTAAAGCCGAGTGCAAATGAGATGTTTTTCTGAAATCCAATGCCCCACTCGGAACGACATGGATGAATAGTATAACATAACACGTCTTGTGTCTCAAACCTAGACTTGTGTGTTCCTTATTTCACCAGTTAGGATTTATATTCGCTCTAATTCTTTGAGAGACAAAAACACTTAATATGACTCATCGAACTGCTGATCTGATGACTAAGTGTATATCTTTTTATTTCATTACGTTCCCAGTGGAACGTAGGGCTTCAAGCTAGAGGTTTGAAGTTTCGGTAGCAGTGGTGTTTATTTTCACGGGATGAGCCTGCTAGCCTCAAGCCTAACCTTCCCTCTTTGCCAGCCTTATTACTGGTTAAGCGAGGTAAAGGAGTGCGTCGGCTGGGGACCGCACCTCGGACCACATGCGTGATCGGCGAGCATTCTACCGCTGTGCCAGCGACGCACACAAAACCAGGGAGTTTTGGGAATCATCGGTAGTACGCACCCACTGGGGTTCGAACCTAGGAACTTCCGATTACAAGGCAAGCTCGTGTACCATTCAGCCACTGAGACCCAAAGCGTATATATATAGGAAACAGTTGGCTAGTTTGACCGAGACTGATGAATCTAATAAATTTTTTTTTTTTTTTTGATTACAGCTTAACTCCACACCGTATTTTTGGTACAAGTATGGAATTTTCAGCGTGGATATCGGTAGCCCAAAATTCGCAGGCCGACCATAGATATCAGGTGTGTGTCGGTGTGGGCTCGACACACACCTGATATCGCTTTAAAGAGATTAAAACTATAAAACAGAAACAGGAGATTATAAAGGGAAAAATAAGTTAATATAAAAAGAACATTTCAAATATTAACCTAAAAAAGATTCCTACTGAGCCCATTCTGTTAAGCGTACTATTTCAGTGAGGGCTGCCCTGCTCTACTCCTGTGAAACCTGGCCTCTCCGAGCTGGGGATGTGCGGCGACTCTGCGTGTTTGATCACCGCTGTCTCCGCAGGATTGCTTGCGTTCGATGGAATCATCGTGTGAGTAATTCTGAGGTTCGTCGGCGTGTGTTTGAACACAGTGGACATCACCATTCATTGAGTGCCGTCATCTGGAAGCACCGGCTCCGGTGGCTTGGACATGTGCTGCGAATGTCACCCCAGAGGCTTCCGTATAGGTCTCTGTTCGCTAGCCCTGGGACGGGATGGAAAAGGCGGAGAGGTGGTCAGTCCATGACGTGGCGTCGTGGGATGAAGGATTTTTGTGCTAGATTAGCATCGGTTGGTGTGTCACGACTCCCTGGTTGGGGTCCGAGAGATAGTTCAAATCGATGGCTCGAAACGTTATCGGATATGGTCAAGAATCGTAATCAATGGCGAACGTGTTGCAATTTCCTTCTTTCTTCCCTTCCTGATGACAGTTAACGAACAATGTTTGAACTTGTTAAGCATGATTATCTTCCTTCCAGATGAAGTTCCTTATCCGTTCTCTACTTATATTTTTTTCTTTTGATCTATGTTGTTTTATTATTATTGTGTGGCGCATCCTTCTTGGTGCCATATTTTACCAAGTTTTTTATGCGTTTAAATAAATAAATAAATACAAATGAAGATAATGCAAAAAAACACCCAGATAAATAAAATTGAAATGTTACTCAACAACCACACGCATTTACACACGGGTGGTAATGAGTCCGGCCTATCATATAAGGGCTAATCATACTACCTAACGGTCAAACCTTAACAGCTGGAGAGGAATTCCAATCTAAGACCCACTGGTTAAAATGAGCTGCAGCTAGCTCACACATAATGACTATCAGGTGATGAAGAATGTTATATACGGTGCCGGATAACTTTTTGTTCACATCACTAATTGAAATCGGAAGTAATTAGCACTTGAGCCAACAAAATTTCGTAAGACACTTAATGAGAAAAAAAGGGGCGGAAAGGATAAATTAATAATAATAATTTACTTTATTCCAAAAACACTACTTGTGATACGGAATGGAATTTTCAGCATTAGTCACAATATTGCATCTAATTTCCTCAAATTATAAATAAAAATTAATCACACAGAAAATTTTCCACATTTACAATAGAGGTAGTGTCAAAAACATGCAGCATATAAAATGGAAATAACAATAATAATGATAACAGCTAGGGTAATAATAATAAGAATATAAGTGAAAATTGCCGTTGGCTTGTGTCATACAGTATTGGCAATGTGGTATAGAAATCCTAACGTGTTCAAAAATATTGAATATAATGTTCTTTATACATTTTTTTTTTATTTACAGCTTGATTCCACACTGTATTTTCGGTACAAGTATGGAATTTTCAGCATGGATATCGGTAGCCCAAATTTTGCAGGCCGACCATAGATTTCAGGTGTGCGTCGGTGCGGGCTCGAACCCCGGACCATGTGCATGGTCGGCGAGAGTCCTAACCACTGTGCCACCGACGCACTACATGATATGGTGAGGGGAAAAACAAAGATTACAGCCGTCATGGAGATAAGTTGGTGTTTGCAATTCTGAGAGTTAAAAAAACAGAGAAGTAACAGGACCATAAATATAATAGAAATAATAAAAGTAAAACTTGAAGGTATATAAGGATGGATGGAGGAAATTGTTTATTTACTAGATGAAAAAAGGTTAGTTAATTCTTGCCTGACACTATTTTCATCACATAAAATACGTGCCAAGTATGGTATCATAGAATTTTTATACTTAGACGTGCGAGCATACAGTTTTCTGAAGTTACTCCTTGTTCTACCTGAGGAGATGCAAGGTGAAAGCTGAGGGTAAAGCGGATGCTCCAAGTCAGACAAAATCCCTTTAGCAAATTTACTGCACGAAGTCAAGTGCCTATCGACAACGACGTTAACTATGTGGTCCACTGGGACACCACTCACCCTACTGACAGTCTTTAGTATTCTACGAATTGTGATATAGTCTTTTTTAAGCAAACCAGGAAAGAATAAGGGTGAGCAGTAAAGAAGAATAGGTAGGATGCAAGAGTTTATGAACTGTAAGAGGAGGGGTTGAGTTATACCCGAGTGTCTTAACTTCTTAATGTAAAATGTCAGGAGGAATATTTTACTGGAGATTGTTAAGACATGGGAAGACCAGGAGAGATCAGAAGAGAGAATGAGTCCAAGATACTTAATTTCTGATTTGATTCCTATATCATTGTCGTCAATTTTACAACTGTCATGTGAATCGATGACTTCTTTTAACTGTCGTATGGAGCATATAGACAAGTATAGACTGTGTGATCAGGGCTCATGTGACACAATTTTGGATCCCTCACATAAACGGCGTATCAGTTATCCACTGTTATCTTTATTTTATTGTTGAGTCTCCATCTGCTCCGATTTCTCCCTTTTATTGGGTTATTCTATTGCCTTTGATAGAATATTTCCCACTCCTTCCTCTTTCCGTTTCCTTGTACTAGATATGCAGTAATAACGCGACAACTAGGAGCACAACGAAACGTATTTAGGTTGTCTGCTGCTTAAACACTGCTACAGACAATGAGTCATATCAAATACAATAAAATGTAATTTTCAAGAAAACAAGATTATGTAGACAGTGACAAACACTACCAATAAAAGACCCAACACTTCCTTGTAACAACGACACGTCTCACAGTTAAATAATACACAGAGTACTTAGTACAATGGTAGCGTGATTTGTACTGCTAAATCTAAAACTTTATCAGACTTAAATGTAGCTGAATAATTCTGTGTGCTTTGCAATATACTTAGTTTTCAGCCAACAATAAACCCATGACAGGATAGTTGAATTTCGTCAGCATTTGATGGGTAAGTACCTCACAATCTTACGCAATCACGTAGACATGGCGTCTATAAATATTTTTTTCAAAAATTTCTCTGTTCTTCTTAGATAAAGAGTAGTTCGGTTGACTATTCCCAACCGAAGACTTAAACTATAGCCAAAGCAAATTAGTGGAAAGGCAACGATGATGTTCCGTGTAGTAATTTTTAGATCATCTGATATGATGACATCGAATTTCCTCCGATAATGTTAAGGCTGGTTATTTACACATCCTACTGGAAAGTGATTTACAACTAGAATGTTGCTGTAGTTGTATAACACTCCACCTTTTAAGTGGTAAGTAATAATGTCTGCAAAAGAATATATGAACAAAAGGCGGAAAAAACGTACTTTAATCATCTGATCACTACTACAAGTTGCCATTCGTCGACCATAGAAATCATAAGCGACATCGTGGATGAGATCAGCGTGATTAGTATGGACGCTTCTGGATAAAAACATTTTGTCTGCAAAATTAAAATAAAGAAAAACCTGGGCAGATATGAAGAAAAACTAGAAAACTGCAGCTACAAAAAATTAAGCCAAAATCTCCTATGTAATTTATTTTGTATTCCTAAAAGGATGCTGTGTGTAAACCTCAACATTAAAGGTAGCCTAATTACTGATACCCTAAAGAGAAGGATATTAAATCCCATAAAAAGAGTATTTTCGGCAGCAATATTGAGTGCAGTATTCTTAAGTCAACCGCTTTTTAGAATAACGTCAAAGATTTTGCATCAGACATCTATGTATATATACCAGCCCTTCCTCGCGTGCGGAGCTAGACACACAGGTTTTTGACGCACATCTTGTCTTAAAAAAGTTCAAGAATCTCACCCTAAATGGTCATTAAGGGATGGGAGTGATCACCCTTATTAATCTTGTTAAATACTGACACACTCACAATTCCTTATTGTCCTTGTTATTATATCTTTTAAAGCAGAAATTATTGGACATTTTCATGGAATACAGGTGTATATAATTAGGAACGTACAGCTGTAGCAAATAAAATTCCCCGAAAAAGTCTCAACTGAATTGTTTGTTTTATTAAATTCCTTTAACGAACAGCCTAATACACTATACTACACTAATACACGAATAATGTACTAAGATTCCATGAGTTACAATTAAAAGACAGAAGTTAGGGTTCCAGGAGAAAAGAAGAGTAAGTTAAACCCGCCATCTGAAAATTCTACTACCCAAGGTGAAAATTCACCACGATTTCTTTCGGAAGCCGAAAAATATATAACAATGCCACATATATAACTTGATATAATAAACGGCAAACAAAGAAATAGGCAATACAACCACTCGGGTTAAATAATAGTGCTTGCTACCAAATAGAAGTGACTTATACTTCAGAGGGTCACTTCTCTCGTTTGGGGGCCGAGGTCATCAATAGTTCATCTAGTCGGCTAGAATTACAGTGCTCTGAACTGATTCAACTTCGACTTTTCTAAAAGGGTACTACGTTGATGACCGCAACCACAAACGAGGGAAGTGACCTTCCGAAGTTTAGATCACTTCTATCTGGTCAACAAGTGCTACTATTTGACCTGTGGTTTCCAACTAATATTAAACATTATATAGCTTAACTCAAGAAAACCAGGAAGATTTCAGACCTGAACGAGGATTCATAGACAAAATATTCACTTTTTGACAAATTCCGGGACACAGAAATATTTGTCGGCGTCCGAAAGTTGTCAATTTCTTTTACCTGAAAACCAAGTCTTATGCTAGTGTTTAACTGTATAGGAAGTACTAAAGAAGCATACGCTAATCAAGGTACTCTAGTCAAGATTATGCAGATGAGTAAAAACTTCACGGTGAGTTGTCGTCCTCATACTGCTTTTTTATACAATTCTATTGTAAACATATTGATGGACGCAATCCCAGTTGAATTCAACATCTCAGGAATTAATTTGCTACTACAGGCAGGTCTTGTTGATTTACAGTATGCGGATGATGTTCAAGGTGAGAATGTTGACAGTGATCTTTTCTCAACACTGATAGAGAATTCAATCATGTTCACCCTCTACTTGGGGTAGGATAATGATATAATTCTGATCCATATCGACTCCTAGGATAAGGAATGAAATAGGTGAATGTATGACCACTTCACTAGACTTAGACTTATTACTGATAAAATCTCAACATGGATACAAAAAGCGCATTTCATTCTTGCTAACTTGCATCAACTTTGGTGCAAATAGAATTTCTAGCCGCTCACCATAGCGCATCTTTCTTGCGCAGAATCTTACTTTGTCTCTTTTGCACTTGTGTAGCATCACTACTGAAGACAGAAAACAGGAAAATACTGATTCTGGACCACGGCTGACAAGTGTAGATTACTCATAAAGAAAAAAGATAGCCATCCAATGACGTGAACCCCAATCAAATGATGATGTTAGATGTATTATACATGCCTTTCCCAAGAGCAAATATAAGCTGAGATGGAATTGGTTTGAAAAAGTCGGGATGGTTAGACGAAAACGAAACATTAGTCCAAGAAACTAACAGTCCTTAATTTTGGCCAAGTAAGGAAGTGTACACAACCCAACTGAAAAACAAGGTGCTGAAAATTATTGGCTCATTGACTCGATGACATGGATCGCCGTCATTCCCAATAGCACCACTGTATTCACTTCTTGTTATCTACCGGATCCTAGAAACTCATTTAAATATTCTTTCTATCACGTATTTATCATAATAATCACATTTCATTCTCTTTGATTAGGCATATCTCATCGAAATGCAGTGAATTAAACTGATGCACATTTCTGCAGTTGTACGTTGTTTCGTGAGTTGTGCAGATGAACAGTCTTCAACAGTTTTCGGAATGCTTGCCGGCGTAATTTGAGTAATAGCCAAAGTGGTGTTCAATGCTAGAGCTCTTTGTTTTGAACTATATTGATTCGTAGTATGTTATCCCTTTCACAGAATGGAGATCTAAAGGAAAGGCCGAGTTCTGACACCCGTAAGGTCCTCCTCAATCATACTTATACCTGGGACATTTAAAGGTTCTAGTTAGGAAACTGATTACAGTCATGAACAGCAATAAAATAATGAAAATTTGGGAAAAAGGCATCACTATGATAACCTATTAAAAGGATGATAACCAATATTGTAACAGTGCTATTAGCTGCATCGCAAATACTGGCTGCTGTCATACTTTCTTAAAACGCGAGGGTTTTCTTTAGATCGTGAATGTATTGGTTACATGTTCACCGTCTGTCAATTACTTGAACACAGATACACCGGGGGCCAATAGTGTTTGCATTTCTTAGTATTAGGTAGAACTTGAGTCCCCGAATGACATCACTTTTTGAGATTATATGTTTGTGGGAGATTCATCAACAGTTTGGGAGTCCGTACAAAAGTACTATTTTAAAGCAATAATGAAATTAAACAAGGTTGACGTCGTTGATCTACCACTTTGGGAAGACAAAGTGACATCAAGAAACCGTTTTACTATGAACATTCAGGCCAACTAAAATCACGTTTGACCATTTCATGGCCATTTTAAATACGTTGAGCTTTAAATTTCACGGGTTCACTGTTGTGCAAGATAAGCAAGAACATGTGTTTAGGAATAACTTGAATTTACCTGTTTGAAATGGTTAGCTATATGAGTGCTGGTGGTATATCTGATGTAATGCCTGAACATATATCGAAGGGCAGTTAAGCACATATCAACCCACATTCTTGCTGACACCACAGTTTTGTTAAGGTCTGAGTTGGAGTCGCTTTGATAGTGATGCATTTGTGACTGCAGGAGTATGGTACAGGCAGTTCGAAAGTAATACTTAATTGAGAACCGGTGTGTTTCCGCAAGACATTTTAGCTCATCAGTGACATCGTTTTCAACCATTTAGACTAGTGTCCGCAGAAAGAAAACTAATAGTCTTAACACGGAATAGAGTGACGGGTGAAAACAGTCATAAATCATAAAATTGGCAGGACTATATAGTTCTCTTGTGAAGAGGAATGTTGAGTATTACCTTTGACATCCCCATTTAGTTTGGCTTTATAAATAAGAGCGATATAAAGGATGTTTACATTTCACACGAGCGACGACAATCTCTATATTTAGTGCGATCACGCTGTTTCCTACAATTCTAATCTTCGGAGTAATTTTTAAAAGAGATATTTAAAACTGAGTTACTATGAATGAGCCATGAATTAAGTGGTGGTCATAGGTGAAAACAGGGATATTTTTACACATAAAACATCAGTTAATTTAAAGTAGAAGTTCCTTCGTACGCTATTAAAACTATGATACTGTAACCAAACCGCAAAAGCAGTAGGCTAAGAAACATTTACAGAGTTTTTACAACCATAAAATTTGACCACACACTGAATAACCATTTTTAAGGCACTATATAACAGTTTGGAAACATCTAACACCTGTTACTATTACCAAAATACGAAGGTTACAAGAAAGCACGCGTAGCGCAAAACTTTAAGGTACGCTCTCCGGAAAGGCTCCAATCTGCGCACCAGATTCGTAAATATTCCGTTTTCACTCAAGTTTCCTAAGGTCTTCGTTGAAAAAAACTTAACCGTGAATTTTAATTTCGACCATCTCCTGCTAACAGGATAAAAAATAGAAATTATACTGAACGCTTGTTAATCTATTTCTAACCTGGAAATATCAAACGAAGTAGACGTTATTTATATCAGCAGCTATACGATTTCGTACTCACTATGGGAAGAGTGCTTCAAGCAGACATTATCTGCTAATGGATTCGTCTTTACAATTTTTGTCTTTTTAGCTGAAAAACAATGCAAATTAAAGGGCAGTATAATTTATTTTGTCCGGCAGATTTTGACAGTCGAATCTGAACTGGTTCACACAAAGGGCTTGGCCGACGCTGCTGATAAGATAATAGAGGTTTATCCGGACGCCTCAAAGTGCAAAGCCTCTGATTAATGCCAGTTGCTTTTCATACTATGCCTGCGCCTGACAAATGAATATTACCTAGCTTCCGTTTGGCCATTTTACAGTCAACCTCGCAAACAGAAAAACTGAAAGCCTCTGTTCAAACGCCCAACCACATTGTAGTCGGTCTTACTCATGGTTACCAAAGGGCTTGTCCTGCTGAGTGTTCCGGACACTTTAATGCTCTGCAAATCTCTACGTCGTCAGGGTAAACAAGATTCGGGCAGCTTAGACGACATGGTAAGCCACTGATAAAAATCAAAAAATCGACGGCTCTAGGATAGAGTCCTGAGATACTCCTGATGATAAGCTGTGCTAGGATGATGGACTAGAGTGACTTTAGTTCAGAATCTCATTTCATGTGGGTAGTCCTTCAACCATGACAGAAGTGCCCCCCCAAATCCGCCTGACTTATTTTGTGTAGGAGAAGGACATGGTTAGCTGTGTCGAATACCTCCTCAAAGTCTAAGATCACATGGACTAGAATATTCACAACCCATCAATGTTTACAATCGTTGCG